AAAAACAAAAACAAAAACATGGAAAGCGGGGTAAATCCTACCCAGCCACAAGGCAAAGGTGGGAGGATGGGTCAAGGGAGGAGAGATAAGAGACAGACAAGGGGGTGGCATAAGCTTATAAAGGCTCCAGCTGTACCCCCACACTCTGTATTATTTATTTATTATATCCCATCTTGCTCCCAATATAGGGACTCAAGGCGGCAAAAAGCAGATTTAAAACAATACAACATTAAAATGTATAAACATAAAATTTAAAAAAACAAACCACTTTAAAAGTTAAAACAGTTATGAGTTAAAATAGAATATGTTAAAAATACAAACCTTAAAATTTTGCACCATGATAGGAGGCCAGCAAATATGCCTCCCCCCAGCAACACTGCATGGCATGAAGGGTGGATCTGTATTAAATTCATAAGGTAGAAGCTGAACAACAACCAGTCCCAATCCCATTTGTATTATCAGAACCTAAGACACACACACACACAGAGAGAGAGAGAGAGAGAGAGAGAGAGCTTATAAGTCTTCTTTGTAAAATACACAAAAAGTAACTTTATTTACAAATACTTGGGTGCAGTCAAACATAGGTGCATCTTCTTGAACAAACTGACAGAATAAGGATTACATGGTATGGGGGGAAGGAGAGGGTTACAAAACACATGCTCTTTTATTTTTTATTTATTATATCCCATCTTATAATAAATAAGCTGCTTTTTTATAAGAAAGAGACGAAAAAGTGAGAAGAGAAAATGGCTGCAGGTTAGAGTGATATAGGGAGAGAATGAAAAAACAAAGAAACAGGAAGTCACCACAAACGTCTACAAAATAGTTGGTATAGGCAAGCAAGGTTGCAAATTCTAACACAGACTATTATTTATTAGCCCTGAAACCCTCCACACTCTTGGATTCGTACTTTTCTAACCCCCCCCCCCCCCCCCCACAAACAGTGAATTGTCTCTCTTTGAAGCCCCCAAATGTGGTAATTCCCTTTTGAAATAGGTCACAGCCTTCCCCCCCGCCGCCCCCGCCTTGCACTAACAACAAAAGGACTCTTAAAAATAATAAGAGGAAGTAGATTTCTGGATAATTACAGGCTGTTTTGAATCTTTGGCTGGGAGAAAAATGGGATGCAAATAAAATCAATACATAAAAATAATTAGCAGCCTCTGGAGGGACCCAGAAGCAGAAAATTCGCCTGCTTCATGCTGCTGCAGTTGCCAACCCATGATTTAATATCTCAGTCTGGAACTCAGATTTCAGTGCCTCTCATTTCTCAAAGAGATGGCAGAAAAAAAATGCATGGTACACATAATTAGCCTCCTGGCCTGGCAGATAAAATCATTAGGAGCACTGGAATAAACTCTTTTGTGGATTTCTTGGATTTCAACAGGCATTCTTCATAGCAACTTGACCACTAAAGTGCAACAGGGATATTGCCAAAGCATGCTTACTGGCAATGGCATCACTAGGGTTCATGTCACTAGTAATTCATGTTGCAGTAACTCATGATGTCACTTCCCCACATTGTCCTCCTCCCATACCACACCATACAGAATCTTTAGCAATGTTTTTGTATTAATATTACTCATAAATTAAGTAATTTCCCTGAATATTCCCTGGCAATAATTGTGACATAAACAATTAGCAAAACTGAAATTATACCTTTAAATTACAATATCATATGCACAGCTTAAATGTATTTGCATGTGCATAGTTTTGTGTTGTGAAAATTTGGTAAGATGTGGCATTTTTAAAAAAAATTAAAATAAATTAAATATTAAAAAAATTAAATTTTAAATGGAAAAATTGAAACATTTTTTAAAACCTGAGTCCTCTCCTTTCTCCTTCTACTCACACTCACAAAGTTTTAAAGGGACACGACTGAATGCCACAGCCCGTTTCTGCCTAAAGGGAGAAGTTTGGGAAGCAGTAGTGTCACCCTTTCTCAGGGTGCCACCTACTGTGGCCTACACTTCCAGCACTCCCCTAGTGATGCATCTGCTTACTGGAAAATAAGAGGTAGTCATTGGGATAGGGTTGCCAGTTCAGGCTCATTTCAGACCCCGAAGTGTTTGGGCCAAAACTTGCAACCTAGGTACCACCTCAATAACTGTCATTAAGAATTATGCATTCAGCATAAACCACAGGTGACCACAGCTTGTCACCTTAGAATTATTGCAAGTTGCTGCTTTACTAGATGAGTCTGAGATCTGAGCACAGCCCTTTCCTCTTGTCCACAGCTGAGCCTGTCAAAACTGAAGAATTTACACCATGTTCCCTACCTGGAGAAGACCCACAAAAACTGGAGACTCAGGGCCAAGTCCTAAGACCTGACAATGCTACATCAGCATTCTCACAGAGGACCCACAAGATTTGCATGATAAATAAATAATAAAATAAAGTAAAATCTCATGGGGAAATGAAAATTAATGAGGCGTTGTTATTTTTAAAAAGCACCTACTGCAGTGAAAACAAAATTTGAGGACCATAGAAAGATTAATAACTGGTTGAGAGGGGAACCAAAAAAAAAAAGTGAACAGGCATAGCTTGGTAGCATTACTTTTTCAGCCTAGAAAGCTCAGAATTCCAAATGACCACATGATTGCTGAGGGATTTGGGGCACTATATTCCAAAAAAGAGTAATGTTTCTGAACATAGAGGATGAAATGGGATGTCCTAAAAGGAATTATGGCACACTGGCTTGAATGCTGCAGATAAGAGTCAACTTTAGGTCCCACACTTGCTAAAGTCTAGTTTTCTCTTCGACAGCCAGGACTCAAAACTTTAACCAAAGTTAAACAATCAATTTCAGACCAATAACATTACCCTATGGCATGATAAAGTCACAGATCCATAAGGTAACATGCATGACCTTTCTGGGATCAATCCAGTTTAATTTGGGCACAGGTAAGCATTTGTTGTCAAGGATTTGTTACTCTATTACCGTACTTTTATAGTGCTAATGCCACTGCACCCCCATCTAATGATGTTGTTTTGCAGCAAGGCTAAGGTCTAAAAAAAGCTGACTGCAATATCCTGAGGTCAGTCACAAAAGCTACTGACATCCACTTAAAAACATGCCAAGGATATTCATGCTTGAACTGGTGCCTTTTGGCCTTGATTTGATAGATCCTTAACCACAGATGATGCTAAGTGCATTGAGAATTCATCAAGCCTTCAAAAACAGACTTTAATCTCAAAATCAATGGCACCATGAGACATTGGAGAGGAAGAAAAAATGGAGATTAATGTTAGTATGTGATTCAGCTATGTTATTTCATATATACCCTTGAAGACAGACCAAACTGCAAATGATATGAAGTACATATTTGATTTGTGTGCTTGGGCTCTGTGTACAGCCTTGGGAAGAGCAGGGGATGGTATGCTACAAATTAGGATTATGGCATTGGAGAAGAAGAAAATTAAAGATTGGATACTGGACCATCGTACAACTGCTTGCTTCAAGAGGGAAGCTTCATGGGAGAGTAGACAATTGGACCAGTGACATAGCAGCACACTTTGAAATACAGATACTCAATCTGAGAGCCCCCATAGTCATGTTTCCAAAACTACAGAAGTTGTGTTGTTCCATATTTTTGTGTGTGCTAACTTCTTCTCTCTCACACACACACTAACATGTATCAGCTCAAGATTAGGAGTTTTATTTTCCCAGCATGAAAAAGAAACACCTTTCTTTCATCTCCTTTGAGGATTGCAGCTAACCTCAGGTGAAGCAGAGTAATCTGAGGGGGTGGTATATGATGTTATTGTCCCTTCTAACCAAAAACCACTGGCACTTTGACCCTGAATTTCCATACTCCATTACACTACAGGTTTAATCCCTTTTATCCCATGCCATAGCCATGATTCTTTAAATATTACTATTAAAATTAACCAGTATATTCAGCTTTTAGAATTTTGCAGTGGACAAAACCTTGGACTTAAAAAGAATGAATCAATCTATTTCCAGTCTGGGTCATTTTCACATATATTTAGTCCATTCTGTCCCTGTTGTGATTCAGTCTGTGATTTTAAAAGCAAGATTGAATTTTGAATGTGCTTCTATGTGCAGTTTCTCCTGACATATGTACTGTGTATGTAATCTCCCCTACTATGGGCCTTTATAGTCTGTAAAGGCCCTTAATTTTGGCCCACTAGTCTTTTTTTATGAAAAGCCAGCATGGTGCAGTGCTTTGAATATTGGACTAGGACTTTGAGAGACTATAATTCAAATCCTTGCTTGGCTATGGAAACCTTCTAGGTGACTTTGGGCAAGTCACATTTTCTCAGCCCCAAAGGAAGCTAATTGCAAACCCACTCTGAACAAATCCTGCCAAGAAAATCTTATGATAGGTTCACCTCAGGACCACCATAAGTTGGGAATGACTTGAAGTCATACAACAAGAACAACAACAACAAAGTTTTCATAATATGAAAATGTCATGGATAATCCTAATTCAGTATTAAATGATATATCTTGCCACTTCAGGATCTTGTTTAGTTCCTCCATAGCTGCCTTTCCAAATCTGAGTATTGTGATTTCTTGACTGCTGTTTCCATTCTGGTGAATGACTAATCCAAGATATAGTTGTATGGAATGCCTTTGTAAAAGGCTGTGCTCAATTTTTAGAACAGAGCCAACCCTTCCACTAGGCAGCCTCAAGTTGAGCCACGCTGGGTTTATGCATATTGTAAGGTCTCTACATTTAAAAAAAAAGTTAAAATGCATTTTTTTCATAGAACCTCTTAAAAATATAGGACTGGGATGGACAAATTGTAGACTGGCTGTGCGTGGCCCCCAACCCTTCCTTTATGTGACCCCCCAGGCTTGTGTATCCCCTTAAAGCCCCCACATTCACACAAATCAAACATTTAGGGGATGGGAAAAAATAATCACCACTTTTTGGAGCAGCAGATTAGTTTAAAATACACACCCAACCCAAAACTGGAAGTCTCTTGCCACAGTTGCCCAGCCCAGATTAGGACTTTAGTATCTATACACAGCCAGCATGGTGTAGTGGTTTGAGCATTGGACTATCACTCTAGAGACCAGGGTTTGAATCCCTATTTAACCATGGAAAAACACTGGGGGAACTTATACTCGCCATTGTGGGAGAAAGGCGGGATATAAATCCTTGAAATAAATAAATAGATAGATAAATAACTCTCTGAACCAAAGAAAAAGGCAAAGGCAAACCTCCAAGAAAAACCTGGAATAAGTCAAAAACAGCTTAAAGACACACACAACAAGAAATTTCTTTATAAGGTCCTACCAGTGTGGCACTAACAATCATCACTCCCCAAAGTCTCATTGCTTGCTCCCTGGGGTATTAATGGGCTCTAGAAAACTACTCAACCTGCTTTTTCCCCTCCAGCATTGTTGCCACAAGGAAATAGTGAACACATGGTTCTCCAGAGCCCAGCAAGTCCCAAAAGCCTTGCTCTGAAGGCTCCTCAGAGAAAGGCATTGTAGGTGTTGGGCTTGGAGATTGCTTGTGTTGCATCTGTCCCTTGGTGCAAAAGCTTAAAGACCAGGCCAGGAGTGACAAACTACATATCTCCTTCTCCCCATATAGCTTGTTCATGTAGATAACATCTGGATAAGCTTTACGGTGGATAGTATTATAAGCCATATCCAAAGCAATACCACTCATCTACAGCCTTCATCTACAGTTCTCCTCTCTGGACAGAGATTTGGAGAACTTAACTTCCTAACAGTAGACCTTGTCTTATCCTTGGATTTGCTAAAAGATTGTGATAATCTTTGTCCTTATTTCCTTCTTACATATAGATTTTAAGCAAACAGTAAATTCATCTAATCTCATATCTTCTCAATAGCAAGGCCAATTGAATTTCCTGCAGTTATTAGCAGTAATGAGCATGGAAAATGGCATTTGGCTGAAGCCACTCAGTTTGAAGGGCATCATCCAGTGTTTAGATCTGGCAAATTCTGGGGCTTCTCCTCCTCCTCCTCCTCCTCCTTTTCTTCTTCTTCTTCCCATTCATCCATCATCATCCACTAACTTGCCATTCTAAAGTTCTATGTAGTGACCCATGGAATTTTCAGTTATTTAGGCTCTTTAAATTTCTCTAGAACCCCTGAGAATATTTTGAAATCCAATGAAGAGAAATTCCCTCAGATTTGAAAGTTCCCATCCTCTGTTCCCTAAGTAATTATTTCTAGGTACAGAAAAGGCATCCAATAGGGCACACTACAAATACAAACACATACACATACATGATTTTTCAATGGGAATCTCTGAGGAAAAGGGATCTTTAAAATGTGCAATGAATTGATTTATGTGGCTCATTTTGGCATTAAAGGATGCATGGGCAGCTGTGAGGCTACAGAATTCATTTAAATTTAAAATCCAAAAGAGGAATCAAAGGTTTTTGATAAATACCTGGCATTGACTATAGGTACTTTTGGTACTTTTTACATTTATTTTTATTTATATCCCTTATTTCTCCCAATATGTGACAACGGCTGAATTTGCACTGCAGAAATAATGCAATTTAATACTGCTTTGCCTGTCAGGGGTCCGCTCTATGGAATCCTAGGATATGTAGTTGTGGCACCAGAGCTCTCCAACAGAGAAGGCTGACCTTCTCACAAAAGTACAAATTCCAGAATTCCATACCAATAAGCCATGGCAGTTAAAGTGGTCTCAAACTGGATTATTTCTACAGTGCAGATTTAGCCTTAAAAGGTAAAGGTAAAGGTACTCCCCATTGACAAGATTGTCAAGTCGTGTCTGACCATAGGGAGCGGTGCTCATCTCCATTACTAAGCTGAAGAGCTAGCATTGTCAGAGACTACTCTGTCATCATGTAGCCACCATGACTGCACAGAACACTGTTTAGCCTTAGGTACAGTTAAAACAAGCTACAATGCAAAGTTCTAAAAATAATTACATGAATAATTATATCAAAAACATTAACTTATAGCATTATAGAAAGCTGTTAAAACATAATACGAATGATAAAAAATTAAGCAATACAATGTTTAATAAATGCACGATAAATATTCATGAACACAAATACTTATTGAATGATCTTAAAGAAATGGGAGCGCCACTATATTTGTTAGTCCTAATCTGTACTAAGAAATCTGTACTTAGAATAAGAGAATACTGTTAGAACAGAATATAGAGAAACAGAATGGTTTCCATTTGGCAATGTGGTCAGGTAAGGCTGCATACTATCACCTTACTTGTATGAAAAAAAATATCATAAGAAGATCTAGATATAGACTCAGAAGAAGGAGGCAGAAGAAACACCAACAATCTAAGATATGCAGATGACACCATAATACTAACAGAAAATATCATAGGCTTGGAACAATTACTAAGGAAAATTAAATAAGAAAGTGCAAAGGCAGGCTTATTGCTGACCACAAATAAAACAAAAATAAAGACCATGGAGGATCAACATAAATTCAACCTAGATAATGAGGAAATCAAAATTGTTAAAGATTTCCTGTACCTTGGAAGAGAATGGAGACTGCAGTCAAGAAGTCAGAAGAAGCCTGGAATTGGGAAAGGCAGCAATGAAAGAATTAGAAAAGATTCTAAAGAATAAAGCTAGACAGCTGAGCACTGAAGTTAGAATTGTCCACATCATTGTATTCCCTATCACCATGTACAAATATAAGAGCTGGACAGTGCAGAAAGCAGATAGGAATAAAATCAACTCATTTGTGAGTTGGTGCTGTAAAAAAGTGCTGACAATACTGTGGATAGACAAACAAATGAATCCTAAAATAGACTAAGGGGCTCTGCAGACCGGCCCAAAGGGCTGGCCTGGGGGTAGAGTTGGGATGGGGCAGCCACAAGCCAGCCACCCCAACCCCACACTGACGCCTTTCTGACGCTGCACGCCATTACGCATGATGTGCAGCATCAGGATGCCCTCCCAGCACAGCATTTAAACATGCTGCACTGAAAAAGAGCGGAAGAGCCAAGGCGTCAGCTCTTAGAATGGCCTTTTGCCGCCCCTAAAAGGAGTGGCATTTTGTCACTCTTTTCGGGTGAGGATCACCCAGAAGGATCGCTCAGGAGAATCAGGGCCTCAGTGTGAGGTTGCCACAGCCCCAATCCACTATTTCCCGGGGAGGCTCTGTGCCGCCCATCTGCAGAAGCCCTAAGAGTGCATTCCCACTTACATTTAAACTGGCTTGCAAGTCGCATTGACACCAGGTTGCTGAATCAATTCAGGCTGATGTGTAGTTTCCACTATGGAAGTGAATTATTTCCTTATTCCATGGATTTGTGTCTTTTTTGACATGATTGTCATTCCCACTAGATTTGCACCACTACAAAATGCATACTCAGTATCGACTGTGATTGATCCATCGTTATCTTTTTTAAAAAAATGTCAGTCATTTACACATCATTGGTGATGCAAGGAAGTATGGAGAAGGGGGATGGGAGGGCTGGGAGGGCCAGGCACATACCCCCCCCCAAAAAAATAGAGGACCCTCCAGAAAAAAAATATGGATGACATCCCCAAATCAAAGCCCAAAACACTGCTAGAAATGTCAATGCATGCCTCTTGATCCTGCTCAAAATTGAAGACATTTCCAAACCAAAGCACAAAGCTCTCCTAGGAATGTCAGTGCATGGTTCTTAGTCCTGCTCAAAATGGAGGACCTTCCAGAAGGGATATATATATAAAGGACATTCCCAAATCAAAAACCCAAAAATCACTCCTAGGAACATCAATGCAGGGCTTCTCTAAGTGATGCTCAGAATGAAGGACATGAAGGGGAGGACTTGACACATGGCGGCTTACAGCTAAAACATATAGAAACCCCAACAACAAACATAGTACCCCCATTAAAAATACATTAGATATAATCTCAATTAAAAGAGTTTAAAACAATAGACAATTAAAACAGTAGGCACTCTGGGGCGAGCA